CACGCTGCCTCGTATCGTAAAGAAAATTCAATAAAAGCAAGAGTACAAATTCAGCGGAGGTGACGTTTTGCTGCTCAATTTAATAAACCGTTGGCCAGACTTAACCGATTTCTCGACATTAAATCGCTTCGAAGGAATACTCAAGAGGTTTATGAGGTTTTAGTTGATTGCTCCATAATTTTAATGAAAAAATAATGCAATTATGTGAAACACCGAGTTCTAAAATCATCATTGATTTAATTTTGCGCGCTTACAGTGAAATTGGGCTTAATGTTATTAACACTGCGACAATTTGCTCTTTTCCTCTTTGCATTTTTATTGAAAGATTTAAGAAATTAAGATAAAACGATTTTTAATTTAATAATGATATAGTGTTAATCTATATTCGCATGAGGCACAAGACATTACTGCAGTGCTTGAAGCATTTGTGTAGGTCTTGTGTCGTCATAGAAACACCCCAATACGCTTGAAGGAGACAAATTTATAGCCCGGCAAAAAGTTTCATTTAAAATTTGCTACATCATTTGTAAATCCATTCTATTTGGTTAAATTGTCACAACAATCACATTTCTTCGTATTATATTTGCAAAAATTGTCCAAGTTGATTACGTTTTGACACACTAAATACTAAAAAATCTGATTTGGATTACATTGTGTGGAATTGGGTTTGCAAAAAGTGGGATTTGTCGTTTTGGCAGGATAATTAGCCGATATTCCCTTGTGCTGCGCTTCGGGGTAAAGGGATTATAATACTGTAATTATTAATATTCTACATCACCCCAATGTTTTTGTCTATTTGGAAGCCGATAATAACCCTTTCCAAACATTGTTACTGGTTTAATCAATATTAATTATAACTGTGATCAAAAAAAATTTCTGTCCAAAATAACATAAGAGTGTTCACAGTACATTTCACGATAGTATTTCAGTGTTAATAATGTTTATGGAACAGTGTGCTTGACTGTGCAGATTTGTTATATAAATTGAGCGTGAAATCAAACGTATTGCAATATTGTAAATTTGTCCCTGTTAGGGCCGAGTTGCGAACGTGGCATTTGTTAAGAGCACTGTTTGGCGCTCTGGATTTATTTTCTCGCAATTAGCGAAAACTCGGACCTTGAGACTCACTAAAAAATATTAAAATAACAATTATCAAGTTGTAGTAACAGTGAAATGGTCCTTGACAGTTTTACCTCAAGTCTGTTTTTTCTTTAAATGCAAATTACCAAGTCAAAATTTTGGTAGCAGCTTTTTTCCATAGCCACAAATTTTGTTTACTTTTTCTTTTTGTACCTAGAAATTTTATTAAAATTTCTTTATCTATATAAATTTCGAAGTTATGAGAGTTTAAATTTTGCACTTTGACTCTATTTATTGTTGTTGGAGAAATAATTTTACAAGTTTTTTTGCTACAGGCTGTTAGAAGAGGAAACAAGAAAGCTGTATCTTAAATTGTAACTGTGTTTAATGTTATTTGTGGTTTTTGTTACCAAAATTTTTGTACCTTTACTAAATAATTGTAAAAAAACATATACAAGATCATCAGTATCATTAAATAAACTTAAAAAATGTCAAATGTCAAAAATTTTTGACAGATAGAATTTTTTAAACATTTTTTCCATGTTCCTGGTATCTTATCTTACCTAAAATTTTTCTCAGGGGCGCGAGTTCTGGCGAACCCTGTATATCTATCACTAAAATAAATTTAAAAAAGTCCACACACTTTCAACTAATAGTTATTTATTATACAAGACGATAAAATTGAATTTTATCTTTGAGAGACACTAATATGCTCGAAAAGATAATGAAAATTTTATCGTCGTGTACAATATAAAATTTTATTCAATCCTCACTAATTTTGTAGTCAATTTGTTGATCGATATTTATAAATGTCAAAGTAAAATTCAACAATGAAATCTAATGTCAAAGATCGTTAGCAACTAAAAACAATGGATGTATTTTTTGCCATCTAGACGATAAAATTTCATTTTAACATGGAGAAAAGAGTAGATACAATTCAATTATAACATAGAGGATTGAATAAATGATTTTTTTCTAATTTGAAATACTTTAACTTTAAAAAAATCATTACTCAATAACTATTAGGCCGATTTCCTTCAAATAAAGACCATTCTAAAGGGATGGACTTGCCCTTTAGAATGGTATAAAATTTGAAATTGAATATTGGTAAACTTTTCTTCGAACAGTGCTCGAAGAAGTTCGAAGTAAATCGAAGTAATCTAAGAAAAACCCTACGAGTATTTTTTTTTTCTTCATCACCATCGTGTAGAGCATCTTTTTATTAGTTGGAATCCAAATTAAAAAAAAATATACCGAGTAGTTTTCAAGATATAATTTTTTGAAGTTAAGGTTTACTAATCAAGCGTTGCGCCATATAGGAGAAATGCACGTTAATCTTACTTAAAATTGCATTTTTATAAAAGTATTTGTTTTAAGACTCTTCTTTTGCTTAAAAATGGTCAATTGCATCTTTATTCTAATTAAAATAAACAAAAACAAAAAAGTTCGAAGTTAAATCGGAATAAACTAAGAAAAACCCTACAAGTAAATTTTTTCTTCATCATCACCATCGTGTAGAGCATCTATTTATTAGTTGTAATTCAAGTTTTTAAAAGAATATACCGAGTGGTCTTCAAGACATGATTTTTTTTTTAAGTTAAGGTTTGCAAGCATTGCGCCAGATAGGACACTTGCTTTAAGTAAACAAACAGATTTTGTTTGTTCTAATCAGAACAAAGAAGATGCAGTTGACCATTTTTAAGCAAAAGAAGAGTCTTAAAACAAATACTTATATAAAAATGCAATTTTAAGTAAGATTGACGTGTATTTCTCATACCAGGTGAATAAAAAGTATGGAACCAAGCATTTTTTTCGTAAACTAAGCACTTTACAAAAAAAATAATTAGTGTAGTGTAAAGTCCAATTAAAATGTGACCATTTATCAAGAATAACATTTTTCGAAATTTCTTTTAGTTTTCGAGTTCTGGAATTTTTTTTTTAATGGCAACCCACTGTGGTAATTTTTTTAATTAAAGATTGTGATCTAAAAATGACCTCTAATTAAACAGAATTGTTTTCTAGTCAGTACTTTTTTTTAATAAATTGTTAAAGTTGCGTTCCGAGCCCATCACGAAGATTTTCCGAACTTGAACGAAGGAGTCGTTTCATGACTTTGGTCATTGGAGAGTCCGGTTTTTGGTGCAGGTGCTTTGGGTTGGTTCCGGATGGATCAAAAAATGTAAAAACAAATCATTTTCTTCTATCTTTAGTCGATTCGAAACCACCCCAAAGCACCTGCATAGAAATCCCATGATGAAAAAAAGTATGAAACAACCACTTCGGTTAGGTTCGGAAAATCTTCGTGATGAGCTCGAAACGCAACTTTAAAAATTAATAAAAAAAAGTACTGACTAGAAAACAATTCTTTTTAATTAGAGGTCATTTTTAGATCATAATCTTTAATTAAAAAAATTACCATGGTGGGTTGCCGTTTAAAAAAAATAATTTTTTTCCAGAACTCGAAAACTAATAGAAATTTCGAAAAATGTTATTCTTGATAAATGGTCACATTTTAATTGGACTTTACGCTACACTATTTATTTTTTCCGTAAAGTGCTTAGTTTACGAAAAAAACGATTGGTTCCATACTTTTTATTCACCTGGTATATGGTGCAATGCTTGATTAGTAAACCTTAACTTCAAAAAATTATATCTTGAAAACTACTTGCTATATTCTTTTAAAAAATTTGGATTCCAACTAATGAAAAGATGCTCTACACGATGGTGATGAAGAAAAAAAAATACTCGTAGGGTTTTTCTTAGATTACTTCGAACTTCTTCGAACACTGATCGAAGAAAAGTTCGCCAATATTCTATTTCAAATTGCATATCATTCTAAAGGGCAAGTCCAACCCTTTAGAATGGTCTTTATTTGAAGGAAATCGGCCAAAAGTTATTGAGTAATGATTTTTTTAAAGTTAAAGTATTTCAAATTCATTTAAATTAGAAAAAAATAATTTAGTTCAAAGTGTGTGGACTTTCTGATTTTTTGTTAGAGCATTTGATTTGTCTCACTGAGTCGAAGAAAATGATTTATAATTTGTCAAGTTGTCACGACATGACTTTTTTTTTGCCGCCCTGTGTTATGATTGTTTTCAAATTGAGATGTTGTCAAAATTTTGACTTTTATGAATCTTGTGTGCCTGTTTGCTCTTAGAAAGGGCTATAACAGACATTACCTAAGGTCTGAAGACAGAATTCAGTGCTGATAATTTTGATAGAAACACACCGCAAGTAAGTAACGATGTTGTGGACAAAATTGAGGTTCTTGCTAGAAAAACTTTGAAGAAAAAGATTTATATACAGAAAAAAGTTATTTAGCAAAAGATACAAGTGGGTATTATGATGATTGGCAATAAATTTTGTGTAATTTACTGAAATGAGCTCAAAGTTGATGCACTTTATAAATTTTTCTTCAGCTTTAGTTTCAAAATTGTTACTTTTTCAACTCCTTCCTCACAAGACACTAATTTAATTGCGTTCTTTCCGAGGTTCTTTCTCATTCATGTTTATTTTGTATATTCTTGTCAATTTCTTGCTAAAAATTGAGAATGTTTAGCAAACCTGCATTACAAATTGTGTCTACATTTTAACGGGCCCTTTTTGTAACTTTCTGCTTGCGAACTATTCGTTTCCAAATTTCTAAAAACTGTTAGTGGTACCGAATTTGTTCCTTAGATGTTTCGTCTCTAAATTTTTTTAGACGATTTTTGTGTTGAGTTTTAATGGCATTGTTTTCAAATTAATGCAAAAAACCGGAATTGCCAGACACTCAAAAATTAAACGGTTACATTTCGGAAATTCGGCTCGCAGACAAGCATATGTAGTGGGGGTAAATAAATCCCGATTGCCGAGCAGTAGTTATGACCATTTTGCATCATGAAATCGATTTTTGAAAACTTTTGTTTTTATTTTTTCAGACTGAATTATCTCATAACTTGCAACAACTGTCTGAGCGAGCTCGATCAACGACAGAGTTCATCCAGCGTCTCAAGGGAATGAGCGATAAAGTTAATGTAAGTAAATCCACCCGCTGACCCGTAACTTCACTATGTAATCTCGAACCATTTGTTTGTTTTTGCCCAATCCGTTGTCTCTGTTTATTGCTTTGTGTACGGATAAAGTTCGGAAGGGATTTAGTGCGACAAGTTGACACTGTTTCTCGCACAGTTCCTCAAAAAATTTCATTTTGCAAATTAGTTGCTACTTAAATGTTGGATTACTTTAGGAAATGCAATTCTAATTATGACACATTGTATCGAATTTTCTGTAGTCTTATGTTTTTAGAAGCAAACACCTGTTTTATGAGAACATATTTATAAAAATTTGTTGATTAAGAAAACTGTAAAAAGTTCAGTTGGAAAAATAATTTTAAAAATTTTTTTTTTTTTGCTACAGGCTATTATAAGAGGAAACAAGGAAACTGTACCCTAAATTGTACTTCTGTTTAATATTATTTGTGGCTTTTATTGGCAAAATTTTTGTACCTTTATTAAATAATTATAAAAAAAAACATCAGTATCATTAAATAGATTAAATAAAAAATGTCAAATGTCAAAAAGTAAATGTCAAAATTGGCAAGTAAGATGAGATACCAGGACCAAGGAAAGAATTGCATCTGTCAAAAATTTTGGCATTTATTTTTGACATTTGACTTTTATGTTTATTTAATGTCAGCCAATAAAAGACAAATAACGTTAAACTAGTTACAATTTAGGATACAGTTTCTCTTCTAATAGTCTGCAGCAAAAAAACAGGTAAAATTATTTTTACAACACAAATCAAGAGTCAAAGTGCAAAATTTAAACTTATACAGGGTGTTCCGTCTAAATCCCACTTTAGAAGTATTGGGAGTTGCAATAATCGTATTTATTTGAAAATTGGTACATAGCCATAAACCATTAAGTCCTCTTAAATGAAAATATTTTCAAGATGGCGGCACTTTCGCTTATACCGGAAGTCGGTCTCAACATTCTTATTTTAAATGAAAAGGTATATTTTTTACTGCGTTTTTGGATTAATCGGGTTATTTTAAGGGAATTTTCATCAGCTTTCCCTATACCTAAATTTAGCCGTTTTTGAAATATTTGGAGTTTTTCAAAAATTTTTGGATTTGCACCTTCCACTTTAAAAACCGGTAACTCTGCTATTTTTTAAAATTTTGAATTCGTTTTTTTGGCATTTGAAGGAGAAAGCTTAGATCTTTCTTTCGGTGTTTTCAAATTTTGAAAAAAAAATTAACAAACCATAAAATTTTAAGGTTACTTTTGTAATAATTCAAATACCCATAACTCAATTTTTTCAAATGAAATACCCCAATTTTTATTATACTAAATGGAGGAGAATTTAATTCTGCATCGATCTGTATTAACATTCCCTATACCTAAATTTAATAATTTTTAAGTTATGGTGACTTTTTGTTGAGACTGCCGAAAATCTGTTATTAGCCACATTCGTTTTCGTATAGTTTGCTATGGGAATATAAAAACGTCAAAATTGTTTCTCAATAAATGTCGACAGTGACTTATTATTTGACAAATAGTGCCAAAATATGGAGAGTCAAAGCTACTCAAACTTAGATTTAATTAATTTATTTTGTATTTATGGAGAGTGTAACAAAATTATGATATCGTTCATTAAACAAAAATAAACTTTTCTCACTTGTTAGCTTTAAATAATGATCGCATGGTAGAACCTATCAATAATAATGAAGTTTGTATAACTTTAATTCTCCATATTTTGCACTATTTGTCAAATAGTAATTTACTGTTGACGTTTGTTTAGAGAAAATTGTGACTTTTTTGATTTTCATAGCAAACTATGCGAAATCGCGTATAGCTAGTAATAAATTTTCTGTAGTCTTAAAAAAAAAGTCCATAACTTGAATATTATTAAATTTAGGTATAGGGAATGTTAATACAGATCAATGCACAATTAAATTCTCTTCTATTTAGTAAAATAAAAATTGGGGTATTTCATTTGAAAAAATTGAGTTATGAGTATTTGAATTATTACAAAAGTAACCTTAAAATTTTGGGATATGTTATTTTTTTTTTCAAAATTTGAAAACATCAGAAAAAGGATCTAAGCTTTCTCTTTCAAACGCCAAAAAAACGAATTCAAAATTTTAAAAAATAGCAGTTACCGGTTTTTAAAGTGGAAGGTGCAAATCCAAAAATTTTTGAAAAACTCCAAATATTTCAAAAACGCCTAAATTTAGGAAAACTCCCTTAAAATAACCCGATTAATCCAAAAACGCAGTAAAAAATATACCTTTCCATTTAAAATAAGAAAGTTGAGACCGACTTCCGGCATAACCGGAAGTGCCGCCATCTTGAAAATATTTTTATTTAGGAGGACTTAATGGTTTATGGCTATGTACCAATTTTCAAATAAATACAATTATTCCAACTCCCAATACTTCTAAAGTGGGGTTTAGACGGAACAGCCTGTATAATTTCGAAATTTTTATCCCTAGTTAGGATTTTTTCCAAATTCTTGGTGTCTTATCTTACTTGACATTTTTCTCTGTGGCGCAAGTTATGAAACATCCTATATATGATTGACGTTGGATTTAATAAACTAAATTTACCAGAAATCTAGCTCCGCCAATCACCAAAAAATATTTTATAATTTCCTAAAAATTATAAATTAATCCGCTTTTGAGCAATCACCTCGGAGAATAAACTCCATATTCGTATTAAAATTTTTATTTTAGTGCCTTGTACAAGTAACTATTTTGAAAAATATCAAATTTTATACTAGCACCTTATCACTTATCAGTTATCTTTTATTAATCAATTAGTTTTTTTAGAACACTTGTTTCAATACGTCTTGCTCATCTTGAAAGTATTTTTCAAGAAATTTTGTAAAATTCTTCAAAACCAATAATAAAAAGATGACCGGAAAGATGCGCACACGGAAAAAAGAGCATGTTTAAAAACTCCATAAAAATGCCTATTTCATATTTCGAGTTCTACGTTTACGAATTTAATCGATTGAGGTGTTTTCTTCTCTTCAATTCGCGAAGGTTTATTGTTTTAATGTTTTCTATTTATTTTTACATTTGCACAAACTTTCAATTCACGGTTTTATAAAATTGGATCTAGAATTTACTAAGTAAATTTTCAACGTGCGTTTTTATCATTGTGCGCTTTTGTCCTTGTGCGCTTATTTCCTATATGGATTCGTACTTAAACATCAAGTATTTTTATTCAGTAAATGCAGTGAATGTTTAGTAAAAATAATAAAGGCACATTAAAATTAATGAATTTTCAGTAACATTCCCAATAAAATAGTAAATGCACAATAGAAATAAATGTGTTACATCGAAAAATATTCGCTTAGTACACCAAGCCATTAACACTCAGTAAAATGGATGCAAATGAATTGAGCAATTGCTCAATAAAATAATAAATGTTCCGTAATGCAATAATAAATAATCCTTGTGCAGGGGCATAAATTATTATGTAACCAAAACTGAAAATAAATACGTTGCTTAACTTTTGTGTTATTTTAGTAATTTTAATTAAAGTTATTGAACCGTTTTTGTTATTTTTGCGGCTCAACAAATTGGGGTTAGATACTGTAAATATACGATTTTTTACTGTGGACTTTTATACTGAACAAATTACAATAAAATACTTTGGATGTGCTACTGTGCAAAAATTAATTAAATACTAATCATTGATCATTTTTGACGAACCTGAAAGCTAAAATAAAATACCATGACTTGATATAAGTCAAAAACAAGTCACTTTATATTTTTTTATAATGTCGAAGGATTATTTTTTCCAACTACTACACCTTTCTATTGACCAAATGCTTTTTGACACGCAAAGCGGCGACAATAAATGCAACATGGCGCATCGCAGGTGGTGAAACTCTACTAATAACACATGGAATAACGATATACATCCTATTTCACGTACAACTTCACATTTCAGATCTTGTCGATTGCATCCCAGTTGGAAGTGAAATTTTATGTAAATTGGGAACATTAAGTTGCAATTGAAACTTTAAAGTACTGAGAATTGTAACTACATAGTATGGAACTTGAACACTCGACTAACTTTTAATGCTTCATTTGTAAAAAAAAAACGAATTGCATAATTACACGCATCGAACTTTTTATATTACAAAAGTTTTAGGTGTCTCAGTGTTTATCGAGCCTTTTTTAGAGAAACCAAACACTGTGGAACACAATCACATAAACGCCACTCGCATTCTAAAATGACTTTTTTAATATGGGACTGATATTGGCAGCACAAACGATGAAAGTTTCAACAGAGTTCTCGATCAATAGAACCTTTAATTAAATATAACTCGAATCGGAACAGAACACTCACACTGTATTAAATTGGTCGTCTACTAATTGGTCTTGCTAAACAACACCTATTGAAGATTAATTTATTAGATGTAAAAAAAACAAGAATATAAGAATAGTGTTAAAAACTGGGATAAATGTGTTACAAGATCCTTTTATAATTTTTTGAAATTTTTATTTTTTTCAAACTGAACATTGATTTAAAGGAAAGAGAAAAAAGTAACTTTTTGCGTTGTTTTAGTAAATCAAGGCCTGTTAATTTTTAAATCGATCCATCGAACCGTTTTCTCGGACCGATTGATCAAAGTTTTGCAAAAGAATTAAAGGAACAATTGCACATATTGTTTCTGAATAGTATCTAATCTTCATAAAAAAACGTTTTTTTTCGACTTTTTTTACAATTTTGCAGTAAATTCAAAAAAAAAATCATATTTTTTTTAT